TAGTGATAACAAAATAAGTACATTAAAAGACCGATGTTTTTCGAAATTATCAAATCTTAAAACACTGTAAGTCGATCAATAACCATAAATACGTACGGTAATGATATTCTTACTATTGTTCATTTCTTTTAATCTACTATAACAACGATATTAATACAGACGATTTAGTAAAAATTAAATATTAGCAACTATCGCTCGTTTAACTTTTGATAGAATTTTACGAAATAATCCTATACAAGAATTTAGTAGAGAAGCCTTTATTACTCTTTACAACATTCGTGACTTGTAAGTTGATATGAAAAGGTTTGAAAATTTAGCGTACTATTTTTCTTTTGTCATAATCTTAAAGTTAAATCCATTAAATTACCAGTCAGTTCTGAAACCATACTCTTAATGAAATATAGTAAATATTAATTCAGGATATGATCAAATTCTATATTATTGTCAAATACTACCAGTAACGAGTAAGTTACTCGACAACTCACATGTAGTACAGTCCCAAAATTAGATTAAGATTGATTTACCGATAATAGATTAATTAAGTCCTAAATATTATTCATGAGATTGGAAGAGAATAGTGCAAGTTGTACGTTTGATTGCATGTTTATACAAGTATCTATTTCTAAAAGATATTAACAATTGTCACAACCACGTTTTTGTGACACAGGATCTCTACTTATCGTGTAAAACTTAGCTAAGTACGGCACAATCCCGACACTGAACAAGTGCTACTGGAACTACGCTTCCTATTAGAACACTAACTTCTCGGGTGTGGGACTACACTTCTTTGACCGTCACTAGGTTACTCGATTACACAAGTAATTAAGCGTAGGCTTTTGAACAGATAACTATCACTACAGTTTATTCTCTTCTATGCCTTTCTCCTCCTCCACATTACATCATAGTTAGCCTTTATATACTTTCTAAGATATTTACTATTTACATTAATCTCACGTAGGAGATCTCACAACCATAACCTCCTATCCAGTAATAATCTTACAACACGACTACAAATCGTGTCAGCATAAACAACTCTCTAACACAAAGGTTGCACATCATCAAGATTTATATTTCCCTAGTCTATCCTCCTATTCGAATACATACAAAATAACTAAGGACAGTTGATCATCAAAACACCTTACTAACAACGTCATACACATCAATTTCATCAATACAAACACCATACACTTTCAATTTCTATCAATAACAAACACATAAACACTTCTAACTCATCACGGCAAAAAGTTACCGTGACAACAATATATATTGTAGACATTTTATAGTAACTATTATATTAAGATTTTGAGATATTATTGGATTGTGCAAAGTAATTTAGTATTATAAAGAATTCGATGCGTTGCTTTAATTAAAAGTGATAGCCATTGATCGACCTTGCAATAGTAAATTCAGTTTAGATCTTGCGACTTAATTCACAAGATATAATTAACTTGCTAAAAAATACCAGTAAAAAATTGCATATGCAAATCATAGATATCTTGATTGAAAGTGCAGTAGTTAGTTCCAAGTCATGTTGGACGAACCCAATTTATGTTATCTAATAATGTTGTACGATAAATCTTAGCTCTTATTGTAACATTTTGAAGCACTTTATCACATCATGGTATTTACTCTACACGACACAAAATTCATATAGATATTCAACACGAGAATACTTATGCTGTGACGCGCCGCCAACTACAACTCTTTGTGAGCCTTTACCAGATCAATTTAGCATATCAACCTGCTCTAATGTCCTATCTCATGACGTATTACGTATCTTCGTCTGGATTATTGGTAGTTTATCTATAGTAGGCAACATTATTTCCATTGTATGGCATGTTAAAAGCTTTGTAAAGAATAATATGGTGGTTCAAACATTGTTAATAAATCTGTCCTTTGCTGATCTCATTATGGGAATTTACTTAATCACGATTGCCGTAACTGATATTTACTATTTTGGTATTTATGCTCAATATCTCGAGACATGGTTACATAGTGTTATATGCGTTATGGCTTCATTTTTAGTAGCGATCTCTAGCCTAATGTCAACATTTATCCTTTTCCTCATCACTTTGGATCGATATCTATTTCTAGTCTATCCTTTTGAGAACTATCGCCTTTCTTATAAGCTAATTACTCTCGTTTTAATCGTGTTATGGACCGTATCAGCTACGTTTACCGCTTTGCCACTTGTTTATAGCTATAATCAGCCTGCATCTTATAGATTGTATGGTACGAACAGCGCTTGCTTACCTGGAAATACAGATAATATTTATTACCTAAGCTGGCTTCTAACTTACTGTGGTACTACTCTAC